TTCTCAGATAAGATCAAGTTCAAGGAGTTCATCATCACCAAGCCCTTATTATATGAAATGTTAAAGGGACTTATCTAAGAAAAAAAGAAGATAAAAAAGATGAGCAGTGAAAGGACAGCAAACTCACAGTTATTAACAACCACATCTAAAACAAAAGCAAGCTAAAAGGACAGCTAGATCAGGAGCAGAACCATAGAAATGAAGATCACGTGGAGGGTTAGCAACAGGGGAGTGGGAGAAGGAGAAGGGGGGAGAAGGTACAGAAAATAAGTAGCATAGACGGTAGGTAGAAAATAGATAGGGGGAGGGCAAGAATAGTACGGGAAATATAGAATCCAAAGAACTTGAGGCACATGATCATAAACTAAGGGGGGGGATGGAGGGGGAGAGGGTGTGCAGGGTGGAGGGGAATGAAGGGGGGAAATAGAACAACTGTAATGGCATAATCAATAAAATAAAAATAAAATTTAAAAAAAAAAAAGAAAATTCTGAAGGTAGGAGACCAGAGCTGTTTCTGTGGCTTGTGATGTCATTGATTACCAATTTTCCTCTATTTCTACTTAGCCTTCCTTTGAATGTGCTTCTTATCTTGTGGTCACAGGATGGTTTCTGCCTATTCCTACCTCTCGTCCCTCCACATCAAAACCTGTACTGTGGGCAGGCAGAAGTGAGAATGACACAGGTCAACTGAGCCAGTCCTTTCTATTAAAGTTTTCTTGGAACCAAACCCAGTGATTTCTTCTTATTTCTATTGGCCAGAACTGTGTTGCATGACTATTCTTATCTCTCTGGGAGCCTGAGGATTTTAGTCAGGCTTATTTTAAGTCAGAAAATAAAACCAAAAACCTTTAGTTAGAAAGAATGGATATTGGAATAGGCAACTATAATATATACCTTTGGAGCCACTTTTTAAAGTATTGGGGGTTCTTGTCTTCCTAAATGCACTGAAGTGAGAACAAATAGTAACCTGGGAGATTTGAGGGAATGGACTCTGTAAGAGTTTTTGTTTTCATTTTTGATAATTAATTGAGAAAACAAAATGTATATCTTAACCCCAAATACCTGGCTGTTTTAAGGTGTTTTATAATAAAATCTGTTCCCTACCCCTGTACATGGAACCCACTCTATTTTATATTATTCTTTTGCAATATCAATTAGATTTATTATAGTATACACAAATAAGTGTTCAGGCTAAAAATTGGAATCTACTGACAAATAAGACTTAACTGTGGAAAATAGGTGTATATCCATAACAGAAGTATATGCCCACTGTTAATTTTTAAGTAAAAAAATTTTATATTCTGGATATTAATCTTTTATCAGGTATTTGATTTGCAACTATTTTCTCCTATTCCATGGGTTGCAACAACTTTTTGATGTGATTTAAACACTTATGAGCATTATATTATATTAATTAATATTTATTAGTATTTTAGCTAGTTTATTTTAAAATAGCATATGAACTAAAGAATACATGAATGAATGTGTGGTTTAAAATTCAAAAGGTCTCTAATAAAAAGCAGTTAAAAGGACAGAAGTTTACTTTGGAAAGAGAAAGAGGAGTAAGGTAAAGCCTTTAGCTGTATCTGATGTTTTATTCAAATATGTCAGAAGTGCTAATCATGTTTAATCTCACTACTGGTAACATGGCTTTCATATTATCTATATTTTTTGTTCAGAATATTTCACAATTAAAACACTTTTAGTTACATAAATCTCTGACCTTCTCCAGATGTCCTGTTCCACAGTATTCCTCCCCAGAAATTTCTAATTCCTTGTCTCTTTGTAGAATTACTCATTGTATTCTCAGGCATATTTATGTTTGAGTGGAGTTCCTTCCTCCCATGGGAGCATACTTAACATATTCTTTCTATATTTTTTCACTACATAGTATATCTTTGAGATTGTTCCATATCAATGTATTTTTATGATTCACATGTACAATATTCCAGAGCGTTGGTGCATTATAACTTATATCACTGCTTCATTCCTCAAGGACATTTAGGTTGTTAGTTTTTCATAATTATGTGGAGTGAGTATCCTTGTGCATAATTATTTGCACACATGTATGTGACTATATGTGATATAAATTTCTGGCAGTGAAATTAGTGGGTCAAATTTATGATCTTATCAAATTGTTTTTAAAAACCATATGGTGTACATTCTGTCAATAATGTATGAGACTCTTTTTCACTCTCACCTGCATAGTGTTAATCAGAATTTTTTATTCTTGCCAATCTGTTTTCTCTGCACTTGATACAGAGGAGCTGTCAACAGAAGAATTATGTTTTAGTATTATTTTAAATTAATATTTTCATTTTTTATCAGTAACTAACTTACAATATAAAATTATCTGTTACATCACTCTGTAAAGTTTTTACTTTTCAGAGAGTGTTTCAGGTAATGCAAACAAATATAAGCCTATACTAGAATGTATTTAATTTTATATAGGAAATTTATTATTCAACATTTTAAAACATTTATAATTAATCTGTGGAAATGGTTGAAGATTATTTTGTTTCTCAATCAGCCACAATAATTTGTTATAATGTGCTTTCATGGAAAAGTATTTGAAACTGAAATGTAATATTGATGCCTAACTTATGTGAGCCTGGTATAACTTTGATATTAAAACCGAATAAATCATTAGAAAAGAAAATAGTCATTTCAATATGAAAACACAGATATATACATTTTTTAATAATGGTGGGACATCCAGACAGTGGAATGTTATTCTCTTTTTTTTCTAGAGTGCTATTTTCCACTAAAAAGACATGAGCTTTGAAACCATGAGAAGACACTGAAGAACCTTAAATTCATTTTATTAAGTGAAAATCTATTATTGTAATTCAACACATTACCAGATTAAAGGAGAAAAGCTATAGGATCATCCCCATGAATGCAGGGAAAACACTGAATAAAATTCAGCACTTACTCATGACTAAAACAAAATTTTTTAGCAAACTAGAAATTGAAAAGAAACTTCTTAACCTGAAAAGGGTATTCACCAAAAACCTAAAGCAATGTTACACATTGTGGTTACACCTTAGAAGCAGTTCATTCAAAATCAGGAGTAAAAATATTTATTTGACTATGAATAGGAGGTTCTAGCCAATGTACTTAGATTAGAAAAAGAAATGAGGCATGAGTAAATATGACATGAAGTATAAGGAAGAAATAGAATTATCAGTGCTGATACTGAGAAATTCAGAACCAAATACAAAATACTAGAGAGCTCAGCAGGATTGCTAGATGTGACAGTAGCATTAAAAAGTCAGCAAAAAAACCCACAACCAGTTGTAATGTGTGTGTATAGTGTGTGTTTCTGTTTTTCTGTAGGGCAGGTTGCATTTTCCAAAATGGCCTTACCAACATATTTGGGATCTCGTGCTCTTTACACAGTGTGACTGAGATGCCTCCTGTTGAGAAGTGGTCTGTGTCCCCTTCTCTTGTATTTTGAAAGGCTGAATGAGTAAAAACATGAACTAAAAAGTTAACTGATCTAGGGCTGATAGGGGTGGTGGCAGGCAACAAGGTAGGGAACCCACAGTAAGAATGTTCATCAATAAATGACGGGAATAATTTATTTATGCTTAATTTGTAGAACTATCTGGTGCCTAACTTTTAAAATGCTTTTTCTCACATGTGACAGTATGAACAAAAGTCCAAATTTTTGCTGTTAATGGACAATTTTTTGGTATGTTTCTGTTTTTACCTGAATTCTTAGAATTATATTTCTTTTTCTTTCTTTTTTTTAACATTTTTTAAAGATTTTATTTATTTATCTTTAGAGGGGAAGGGAAGGAGAGAGGGAGAGAAATATCAATGTATGGTTGCCTCTTATGTGTCCCCTGCTGGGAACTGGCCTGCAACCCAGGCACGTGCCCTGACTGGGAATCGAACCGTGATCCCATTTGGTTCACAGGCCCATGCTCAATCCATTGAGTTACACCAGCCAGGGCTCGCTCTTTCTTTTCTTTTCCCTTCCTTCCTTCCTTCCTTCCTTCCTTCCTTCCTTCCTCTTCCTCTTCCTCTTCCTCTTCCTCTTTCTCTTTCTCTTTCTTTTAAAGATTTTGTTTATTTACCTATCTATCTATTTATTTATTTAGAGGGGAAGGGAGGGAGAAAGAGAGGTAGAGAAATGTCAGCGTGTGGTTGCCTCTCAAATGGCCCCTACTGGGGACTTGGCCCATACCCCAGGCATATGCCATGCTAGGAATCGAACCAGTGACCTTTGGTTCGCAGCTTGCGCTTAATCCACTGAGGTATATATAGTAGCTAGGCTTAGAATTATATTTCGTATGAGAGAAAAAAACTGCTGATGTTGGATACAAGTAGCAGAGTGCCTAATGCAGGCATGACCTCATAGAATTTCTCTCATAGTGGAATATAGCAAATGATAAGTGTCATAAAATGAGCCTTGGGCCTTGGTAGTTATTGCTAAGCATTTATGGCTCTAGAAATAAAATTTGAGGATATTTCTGGACTCCAAGTAAAAGTTACATGTCATGAAGATGAAGAAATAGATTAACATTTTAAGATAGAAACTGAAATATAGATAGATATTACTGAGAGATTAATCAGAAATTTGAGTATGATGTAATCTTAGATACCTCCATTGCATTAATTCTATGTGGCATGAAGTGTCTAATGTTGCCTTGTAAAGGCTGAATATAGTGTGACAGTAAATAAATATATTAAGAGCAAAAACTTTGGTGCCTGAAGGACCTTGGTTCCATCCTGGGGTCTGCCACTTAATAGCTTTGTGACCTTTAAGCAGGTATTTTGACTATCATCCCTCACGTATAAAATAGAGAAGATAATCGTTTCCATTGGTTATTGTGTGAGAATTGAATGAGATAATGTAGGTAGTGTGCTTTGCATAGTGCTTGGCATATCATAAGTGCTCAATAAATGTTATTTTACACTGGTTAGCAAAGTATCCGTTTTGCTATATAAAATTTAAGAGGAATATTAAAATATATTTTTGTTGTTTTAAGGAAATTCGCAGTGAGTCCCATGACTATCCTCATAGAGTGGCCAAGTTTCCAGAAAACAGAAATCGAAACAGATACAGAGATGTAAGCCCATGTAAGTACCTGTGTGTTTGTGTGTATCTTTATGTTTGTTGGTTTGTTTTAGGAGGCAGTATACAGTGAAAAAGGTTTGGGGTCATGGTTGATAAGTACAGTAATAATTTTTTATATTAACACAATACACATTCAAGGCATAGAAGACTAGAAGGAAGAAGAAAATTGCCCAAAATTATTTCATCCACACAGCCACCATTATTTGATACATATTTTTTCTTTCTTTTTTAATTCATCAGGGTTTTTTTTTTTTAAGGTTTTATTTATTTATTTTTAGACAGAGGGAAAGGGAAAAAGAGAAAGAGAGAAACATCACTGTGTGATTGCCTCTTGCACATCCCCTACTGGGGTCCTGTCCCACAATGCAGGCATGTGCACTGATTGGGAATTGAACCAGCGACCCTTTGGTTTGCAGGCTGTCCCCCAATCCACTGAGCCACACCAGCCAGGGTTATTTTAAGATATTTTCTATCAATCTTTTTTCTTCTGCATAATTTTTCTTTCTTTAAGATAATTGTAATCTTATATGTGTGTATGTATATTCATCTGTACATACTTTGTTTTCATATTATTCCATAGACTTTATGAATATTACTTAAATATTAATTGGTATAGTTTGTTTCTTCTACCCCAAATTACAAAACTAGTGTGTATTTACTGTAGGAAACTTTTAAAACACAGAACTGTATAAACCCCACAATCTAAAAGCAAAAATCTTTTGGGTTTATATTCTTTTGATATTTATTTTCTGTCAAAATGTATACATATATTCTCTTAAATTCAAAATTAGAATCTTGCACATACTAATTATAGCTGTTTTTCTACTTAACCATTTTTGTACCATAAAGTCTTTTCAATGGCTCTGCTAGTGCCTTTTGATAATGCCATTCTTTTCACGTAAGAGTCTCCCATGGGTCATCGTTTAGATTCTGATATATATACACACACCAACACCCACAATTTTCTGGGTGTTGGTGTGAACAGTTATAATTGTGAACAATTATAATACTAGGGTTTTAGATTATGTGTTCATCATTAGGTTATTTTATTTTTTGTTGTGATTGATATCACTTCTTCAGATATTAAATTAGTTGTCTTATCACTCCAAAATGTTTCCCCATGTTTGATTTTAGTGGGCTCAACTTAAGTATTCTCCTTTAGGGCTGTTTTTTAGGAGGGACATTTTAAAAAATATTGAATCTATTGCATTTTGGTTTCAGCTTGTTTGTGTTGTGGTTCCTTTCTCTAGTTGATGAGGATTTGGTATTACTGTGCCAAGGCCTCCTGTATAAGCTAAATAGACTCACTTTATTCAAGGCCATATTGTATTCCTTTACAGATGATGTATTCCTTTTTTAAAAGTATATTTTATTATGCTATTACAGTTGTCCCATTTTTTCTCCCCTTTATCCCCTTTGCCCTGCGCCCCCACCTCCCTCCAACATTCCCCCCCCTTAGTTCCTGTTCGTAGGTGATGCATATAAGTTCTTTGGCTTCTCCATTTCCTATATTATTTTTGACTTCTCCCTGTCTATTTTGTACCTACCATTTATGCTTTTTATTCTCTGTACCTTTTCCTCCATTCTCACCCCTCCTGCTCCCTGCTGATAACCCTGTATGTGATCTCCATTTCTGTCATTCTGTTCCTGTTCTAGTTGTTTCCTTAGTTTGTTTTCGGTTTTGATTTTTAGATTCATTTGTTGATAGTTGTGAGTTTGTTATCATTTTACTGTTCACATTTTTTATCTTCTATTTCTTAGATAAGTCCCTTTAACATTTCATATAATAAGGGCTTGGTGATGATGAACTCCTTGAATTTGATCTTATCTGAGAAGCACTTTATCTGCCCTTCCATTTTAAATGAAAGCTTTGCTGGATAGAGCAATCTTCGATGTAGGTCTTTGGAGTTCATAACTTGGAATACTTCTTTTCAGCCCCTTCTTGCCTGGAAGGTCTCTTTTGAGAAATCCGCTGACATTCTGGTGGGAACTCCTTTGTAGGTGACTGTCCCCTTATCTCTTGCTGCTTCTAGGATTCTCTCCTTCATTTTAGTCTTAGCTAATGTAATGATGATGCGCCTTAGTGTGTTCCTCCTTGGGTCCACCTTCGTTGGGACTCTCTGAGCTTCCTGGATTTCCTGGAAGTCTGTTTCCTTTGCAAGATTTGGGAAGTTCTCCTTTATTATTTGTTCAAATAAGGTTTCCACTCATGGCTGTTCCTCTTCCCCTTCTGGTACCCCTATAATTCGGATGTTGGAATGTTTAAAGATGTCCTGGAGGTTCCTAAGTCTCTCCTCATTTTTTTGAATTCTTGTTTCTTCATTCTGGGTTTTTTTTGGTTGTTTCTTCCTTCTGGTCCACTCCATTGATTTGAGTCCCAGTTTTCTTTTCATCACTGTTGGTTCCCTGTACATTTTCCTTCATTTCACTTAGTGTAGCCTTCATTTTTTTCATCTAATTTGTAACCAACATCAACCAGTTCTATGAGCATCCTGATCACCAGTGTTTTGAACTGTGCCTGTCATAGGTTGGCTATCTCTTGGTTGTTTAAAAGTATTGGCTCTGGGGCTTTGATTTGTTCTTCTGTTTGAGCCATTTTTGGTTAGGTCAGGCCTATTGAGTATGAGGGGTGGAGCCTTAGGTGTTTAGCAGGGTCGGGCAACCCACAAAGCTGGGTTGTGACGCTTATGTGGGGGCGGGGTCAGAGAAGGAACAATGGCACCCTCTCTCGGATTTCAGTCCCCTCTGCTGCTTCCCACAAGCAAATTGGGCTTTTCTGGTGCTGGTTCCCCGGGTGGGTGGGCTTATGTACGTTCTAGGACCTTGTGTGTCTCTCCAGTGAACTCTCCCGTGAGGCTGGGAGTCTCATGCAGCACCTTTTCAATTAGCGCTTTTAGGCTTTATTTCCCGTCACTGGGGCCCTGGGTTGCTCGGTCTATGTCACTGCCTGTTTTTGCCTAGTTTATCTGTGCACGAATGTGTGATCACCGTTGCCTGGCACACTGCTCATTTCCTCCCCGCGCCTGGGGTCTGCTAGCCCCACGCAGCCTGCACTCCTGGGTCTGGCAGCCATCACCTTTTCCTGCCTCAATCCCTCTCTGCTGGCCGCTGACTCAACCCCTCTTACCGGTGTGGTTGAATGGTTGTCGGACTTTCGTACAGTTCAGTTTTCTCTCTGTTCTGGTTGTGTTTTTGTTTCTAAATCTTTGTTGTCCTTAATTTTGGTTGTTCGAGGAGGCACAGTGTTTCCAATGACACCTTCAGCTTGGCCGCCATGCTTATTAATTTTAAAGATTTTATTTATTTTTACAGAGAGGGGAAGGGAAGGCTAGAGGGAGAAAAATATTGATGTAAGAGAGGAACATTGATCAGTTGCCTCTTTGCACATGCCTTACTAGTGACCCAAGTTGTATCTCAGGCAAGTGCCCTGACTGGGAATCAAACCCATGACCCTTCAGTCTACAGAACAATGCTCAGTTAACTGAGCCACACCAGCCAGGGCAGTTTGGCAGTTTCTTATATACTAAGTATAGATTTACCATATACTATCCAGGCATTGTACTCCTGGACATTTATCACAGAAAATTTGATCTAATGTCTACACAGAAATATGTACAGATTCATTTGTAATAACCCCAAATTGGAGACAGGTTAAATGTTCTCTGTTGGGTAAGGTGTTAACAAACTGTGGTATATTCCTACCACAGAATACTATTTAGCAGTAAAGAAATAAATTATTGATACATTCAAGAACTTGGATTGATCTTAGAGGACTCATGCTGAGTAAAAAAATTTAATGTCAAAAGATTGCATACTGTATAGTTCCATTTATATAACATTCTTTTTTTTTTCTTTAATATCCTCACTGGAGGATTTTTTTCCACTGCTTTTAGGGAGAGATAAAGGGAGGGTGGGAAGGTGGGGGAAAGAGTTAGAGAGAGAAAAAGATTGATTGGTTGCCTCTCTTACCTGCCCCTACCACGGTGGAACTCACAACCTAGGCATATGCCCCAAACAAAAATCAAACCCATGACCTTTTGGTTTATACAATGTTTCAGTGCTATGGCCAGTTGCATTCTTGAAATGATAAAATTGTAGAGTTGGAGAACATGACTATAAAGGGGTTGCACAGAGGATCTTTTTTGTGATAAAACAAATCTGTGTCTTGATTGTGGTGGTTAACATGGATTTGCATATGTGATAAAATTGCATATAGCTGCACAAGCACACGCATAAATGAGTATCTATAAACCAGAAAATTGAAATAAGGTTTGTGAGTTATACCACAGTCTTTCTGAGTTTTTTAATTTGATGGCCTTCTTGAATTGGGTACTGGGTGGGGCATGGTGCTAGGTAGTGGGAATGTGTGGTGACCATTACAGAGTCTCTGGCCACAAAGTGTTTAACTTTAAGAAAGAAGGTTGCAAATGGGTGGAGGTCTGAGTGCTGCTCCTGCCCATGGGCTAGGTGAATCAAAATCTTGCCATAATTGTAAGTAGCATTTTAACAGAGGCCCCTAGTGTAGACACAGCTCATTGTTTGAGAAATTCTGCTGTAGAGTACTTATGCTGGGGACTAGAGGGATGAGGAACAGAGTGTACTGGGAGGGTGATAGGGAATAAATAATACATGGAGCTTCTTCCAGGACCATCAGTTATACACAGAATTGAGGAGGTGGAGGTTGGTTGTCTGTATATTAAAACACAGATAGATAATGAATTAGAATTTTAAGATAAGGTAAATTTTTAAGATAAAATAGGACTTTTCAAAGAGTTTGCACTTGATACTTTCACGGTATTTATGAGAGTCAGTAAGTAAAAATAATAGAGAAGGATTGGTCCAGTCTAGCCATTTTATTTTATAGACAAGAAAACTGAGACCCCCCCCCCGCCCCGTAAGTATAATGACTTTGGTGCTTCTCTCAAGCTGTAGTATCTGAGTAGCTTGGATACTAAAATATTTCTCAAGTAGTAGGTTGTACTTTTCTATATGCATCACAGCT